GTGTGAGACAACACAAGAAGGTTCAGAGGAGAACTGATTGGGATGTAAGACTCTTAACCCAATCAGTGATTTAATCCCGATAGGGATTCACTGAGGAATAACTGAAGTGGTGGGGTGTGGCTGGAGGAGGTGGGAATCCAGGCATGGCTTTGGGTACACATTTGTATCTGGAGAGTGGAGTTTCTCTCTCTGCCTCCTGGTCACCATGATCGGAGCTGCTTTCCTCCACCCCCTCTCCCACCATGATGTTCAGCCTCACCTCAAGCCCTGAGGAATCCAGTCATCCATATATGAACTGAGATCTCTGAAACAATGAGCCCTCAAATAAACTTCTCCTCCTCTACAATTGTCCTGGTCAGATCTTTGAGTCATGGCAGCAAAATAGCTGACTAAAACAGACTACATCCTGATCCCAGTCACTGAGGCCGGGATTACTCCAGGTGGCCTGATCACCACCCTGAGCCTTGGATTCTGAAGGTGCATCTCCCATCCTGGGGCAGAGACGAGGCCCCCATGAAGACCAGCTCCAGGGCCCCTGAGATCCCTCACCCAGGTCTGTCCTCACTTTCCTGCCCCCAAACTCACAAAGGGAAAGTCAAATGGTCCTAAAAAGGTTTGTCTTTGATTTCCTTTAAAATTCGTTCAGGTTATTTGGCATAATTTGGCTTTATTTGTAAAAAGATATTTTTGAAACATCCAGTGTCTGCCTTTAAACATGCACACGTCTCTCCCTGGCTGCTGTATGTATAGCACATCTTAAGTGGAAATTCGGGTACACTGACAAACACGAGGCATTTTCATCGACTTTGAACACAGAACGTGAAGAACATTTGAGAAAAACTTCCAAAACTTATTCTCTTTGGAAGCTGCTGTCTGTTTCCAAAACCATGGAGAAGTGACAGGAATATTTTATTTGAAATCCCTGCGCCAGTCTCCTCTGGAAAGACAGACCAGTGGCTCCTCTGCTTCTCAGCAGTGCAGACTTCTTCTCCACAGAATATCTCAGGGCTTGAGCTCAGCAGAGTGAAGCAAATGCCAAGGCAGAACGCACAGCTCTGTCTCCAGCTTTAAAAACAGAAAGGAGTCGGGGTTTGTAACAAATCCACTGATGATGGGATCCCGTGTCCCTGGAGACTGCAGCCCTCTATCAAGATCAGTGAGAAGAGATACTCCTAATAATCACATCAGCAGGGGATGCGCTGGGGAAATAGCTCCAAATCTCAAGTGTTTTAAAATATGCATGGATCAGACTCTAGGTCACCAA